GTCTGACAAAAGTGCAGGATGGATTCTACACAATCGGGATTACAATTAATATGATCCTAAAAGGTATGCAAAAATTAACTTTGATGAYCCTAACTGATCTTTAAGCTAGAAAGCATCATTTTATCACTTTGCCATTTGAATATTGTGATTTCTTTTTTTGCAGCATTTCCAGGAAGACCAGACAAGGCCAGGATATAGTTTCCTGTCATAATTAGTACTGCTTAAATACAAACATTGTGGATTTAGTGACTTCATTCTGTATACAACTTTTTTAATTGCATGATTAATGCAAATATGAGTCAATTGTTGTGGCATTCTATCCTTCTGCAGATTGCTCTACAGATGGTTGCTCTGTGCCCTCAGTGTTTCCTTGTTCTGTAGTTCCTTGTGCTGGTGCTGTCTCCTCTGCAGCTGTTTGTTTGGTTGAATCTTCAGCTGGTTTGGTTGAACCTTCAGCTGGTTCTGTTGAGGCTTCAGCTGGTTCTGTTGAGCCTTCAGCTGGTTCTGTAGTAGTAACTTCAGTTGGTTTTTTATTCTCCTCACTTACATCTCCTGAAGCACTTTCACCAGTTGTATCGTCCTTGTCAACTTTCTCTGTACTTTCTGCTGTAGTTTGTTCTGTATTTTCTTTCTGTTGAGTACTTTCTTCAGGATTGTTTTCTTTTTCAACTTTTGTTTGTTCTTCAATTCCATTTTCCGTTTCTTCTGTAACTGTTGCTAGAGCGCCTTCAGGTTTGCTTTCTCCTTCATTATCATCTTTTGGTTTGGCATCTTCTTGTTCTAATGATGAAAAAAAAACTTACTTAGCCTATTGAAAGTCGTGTTTAAATGGTTGTATGAAAAATGGAGTCTAAACTCACCTGTCTGCCTGACTTTTGTTGCCTATCTACTCTGTAAGCTGTCTGGTTTGAATAATTTACTCTGTTACGTTACCAAAACATCAAATTCACACCTTAATGTTCAGTTTTGTCTCAAATGAAAATATTTATTTGTTGTTGGAGTTTTGATCAAAGGAAGCAAAAATATCAAAGGAAGGTTAGCCAATGCCATTTGAATAATTCACAATTAGAATGACTAATAAATTTATTTGATAGAGATAAATGAGTTCACAATTTTGTTCACATTTGATAAGGATATATCTTTTTTATATTGTAATTATTAATGAATTGGTAGAAACCTGTCAACCACTTGACTCTGCTGCTTTTCTCCCTGCACAAATAGAAACAAATCTCTCTATACTCTCTAAGCTATGTTAATAATAAAAATAATCAATTTATAGCAAATCATGAATACTAGTTGTAAGTGTCAGATGTTGAGCCAGGTATTTTTGAGAGGGTGTTATACAGTAACATTAAAAGGGGTTGTAACATTAAAAGGGGTTGGAACATTTAAGGGGGTTGGAACATTTAAGGGAGGTTGACGACATGAAAGGGGGTTATAAAAATAGTGGTTGTAACATTAAATACATACAACTACTTGCGAAATCGTTGTCATATAGAAAATAGGACATTTGTATTTAGTAAAAAGGAAAATTAAAAAGACAAAAGAAGATCACTTAGGCTAAAAGCTCTATTTTGTCTTCTTTTAATTTATTCCATTTTACTAAATTCAAATGTTCTATTTTCTATGACAACGTTTCTGCGAGTAGGTGTGTGTAATTAAACCATTTCTGCATCATCAACAAAACACCATCTTTACTCACGTTTCTCTTCTTCAGTTTCATCACCTTCAGCBACAGTAGGTAAACTCTCTGAGACTTCAGGAGGCATTGGTCTTGGTTCAGTGTCAACAACGACCTGTTCTTGTGCAGMCTTTTCATAGGCTTCTTGTCTAGCTATTGCCTCTGCCTCCTCTTTCATTTTTTCTTGTCGTAATTTTTCTTTCTCAGCTTCTTGTCTTTCAATATTTAAAGCTGCTTGTTCTTCATCTTTCTGCAAGTGAAACAAATATCAAAGAGTTCACTACTGTAATGATGTACTTTGACGTTTTAGTGGAATAACAGCTCGGTATTTCAAATGATTATGAAGTCAAAGAAGGAACTATGCATTGGACCATGTGGTTTTGTCTTTATCAAGATCATGTTTTAAATTTGACTTTACATTCAATTTAAATCTTAACAGAAATAATACTATTCAGTACAGACAAGGACTTGGGACAATCAAACAAATATGACAGGGAAAAAACTGTATTTTGATTTAAGCTTAATAATGTTCTTTATGATTCCAGTGAAACTTTTTAAAAATACAATTTTAAACTAAAAATTTTCACTCAGAATATCAAAATACAGCTCACACAATAATGAAGGTATCCAAATCTCAGATCAATTATCRATGACCGTTTTCCTAGTATAGTAAAGTACCTTGAAGGCGAAATCTCTGTTCTCGACGTATTTCCTCAACCAAAATGCCAAGTATTCGATCGGATCGACCGGTCGTTTTTGCACAACTTCAGACAAACCATAAGACAAAGCATCTCCAACATGCTTCTTTAGGTATTCAGAATCCATTTTGTAATATAATATTTGACTAGRATGGTAAAAAACGCGAGTATTTTTGTTGAAATCTCCTCAGCTGTTTGAAAATGGCTACTCTTCTTTATATTTCTCTCGTATCTATGACAACAATAAACCGCTGAATAATATACAATGGGCGCATAAATCCATCTATCGGCGATGATGATTGGTTTAAACTCATGGAATCTAAACCAATCAAATTCATGATTAGAAAACTATGTCAGCATGGCCTTTTTCATAACAGCTGTTTTTATTGGATGGATTTCGCAAAACCAATCAAAATCATTGTTAGAAGATACTTTGGTTTGTGGAAGTCATTTTGTTTATAATCGTTCTTGAGGTCAAATTGGCGTTATTTTACTCGTACTTCCTTCAAATTATGAGAACAAGSGTTTGTTGACGACTTGTCACAATGGAAAGCAACACAGATGGGATTGTTTTATGTGGAGATCAGGTAAAAAGAGAAAACAAAARTTGATGTTTATTCATTTTAGTTGCAGACTCTTGATTGTCACATGATTTTCAGCTAACTGCTACAMTTATAAATAAAGATGGCGTTAATTAAGATGTAATGAGTCCAGCCAGTCTCTTTAGACTCTAAAGAAAGAGAGTTGTAAACATGATAACGATTTTAGCCTAATGATGCTAATTTCATGTTTGTTGCACAATTAGCCTTACATTCACTTTCCATTAACTTAGGCTCAATGAACATGAACAAAGCATTTGTACCATSGTGTCAAAGTACGCTGAAAAGAGGTCTTTCTATGCTCATTGTACCTTGATGTCTTTGTAACAATGCTTTGTTTCTGGTRCTGAGCCAGGCATATTGTGAATCATTTATGGACATAGTACTAGTGAACACAATTAACAGATTTAGCTTACCATTAATCAAAAATTTCATTTGGATCAAAGTTTCAGTGACTTAATTAAGYAACTTTATATGATATACATGGAGTATGACCTGTGATGGTAATGATGATAATGAAGAATAAACAAAGTTCATGTTTGATCTGTACTTTCTRAGTAGCTACCAACATACATGTATTTAACTAACTTTTGTTCGATGTACCACTTCATAWTACATAGGAAGGAATTTCTTTGCATAGCACACGGGATTGGACTTATATATTTTTGATAAGATAATTATATAGATATTCATATTCATGTTTTTAACTGTTCAGCTGTCATTTATTGGACAAGAAGCTCAGACAATACCAGGAATCATTGGTAATAAGTATGGCAAGTTTGTGAAACGTCTGGACATGAGTTTTAACCAGTTGAGGTACACAATGTCTGAGATGAATCATGTGATGCATCCATTAGTAAATTCCAATGACAGTATGTTTTATTTTCAGACACTGCTTTATAATACACAAATTTTGGGGCGTTTCTTGTGTTTAAATTTTATTAAAAGCACAAATCATTGTCATAAAAAGACATTGATTTTGAACTTGTAAGAGTTACTTGCAATCATGAGCGGGTAAAGGCAGAGAAAGGAAATTCAGGCTGAATTTTTTGCCAAATTGTTATTTTGTGATTGACTTTTAAWAATAAAACTCTAGTCCTTTATGGCCGTGAATTGTAAATTTGGGATCATCAAGTTATAAATTAAACATTAATTTATAAATAGTTGACTGCGTCTGTTGTAAGATCATAAAAAAGTAATGTTTTATCATTAATCCTTTCAAAGAAAGGTTTTCAATTGTTATCTCATGTTGGTTAATTTCAGGAATCTAAGTGGATTACAAAGTTTTGAAATCCTGGAAGAGCTTATTCTTGACAACAACCARCTTGGAGACAGTATAGAAATTCCTCCTCTTCCAAATCTACAGACGTTAACAATCAATAAAAATAAAATATCCTTTTAACATGATTATGGATCTTAACAAATAATTTTAATTATTTATGTCACTATAGCAACTACAAYTACAGTATACAAAGCTAAAAGATAGAAATAAAAAAAAGAAAAAGAGTGAAGGAATTGATGGAATTAGAGTCAGCTTTTCATTATGGACAATTAAGCATTGGATACTTTTGATAAATCACTGTTCCAAAGAACTTAATGAAAATGACTTCCCTCACAGCAGACACACTTGCATTTTTTTCATTAACATAATAACTGTCCTATATTGGATAAATCGGATTAACTGGATAAATCCAGCATATACTCCATACAAAATCTATGACTTTAATTACACTTTGTACAACTGAACCAAATATTAGTGGGACTTATGATGTGAGATGACTGTATCACAAGTGATTTTCTTTAACTATTTATCACTTTGTAAATTTGGATAAATTACTTGAGGATATTGCTAGTAAGGCTCCAARGCTAAACTACCTCAGTCTGTTGGGTAACACAGCATGTCCTAATGAACTGTCAGGCTTTGATAAAGATGAAGAGGACTATCAAAGATATAGGTAGGATTACATGTAATAATAATAATAATATGTTTATTTCATTTGCAGACTGTAAAAGGGATAAAAAACACTGATATAATTACAATTTGGCAGGCATAGAACGCTTAACACTTAATACAAAACTGTGTTGTTTTTTAATGAGTATTATAACTGTAGTTTAAATCATGAGAGTTAGTGCCTTATCAGATACAGGGTTCGCGCTACTCTTTGAAATCCTGGAGAAATCCTGGAAATGAAAACTCATTTTCAAGGGCGCTTGAAAAGCCCTTGAAAATGTGAAAAATCGTTAAACTTCTGGAAAACTCCCTGAATCTGATGAAATTGACATATTGCTTGTTAGATTCGTATTGAATGTTTTGGAAAATAGCCACAGGAAACGTCCGCAGACATCAAAAAATATTTTCAAAATAGACGTCCTTGAAAATCACATTTTTGTGCTTAAAAACGTACTCAAAACGTCCTGGGATTTTGTAGTGAAAATTGTAACATGAATCCTAATYCAAGTAAAAGGTGTTGGGTTGCTGATTACCCTYRCAATTGTTTGATTCYAGGTATTATGTAYTGTAYAAGCTTCCAAGACTAAAATTCCTGGACTCAAGACCCGTCAAAGAATCAGAAAGAGCAGAAGCCAAAAGAGTTGGAGCTTTTATGAAAGTTGTTACTCTGACAGATGCTGACGTGGTGAGTTCGTAAGATGGCCTATTATGATTAAGTGATGTTCAAAAAATATGTACAATGTTTACTATAGTTCAGACATAGATTTTATTAGTTTAAGTAGATTGTTGACTAGACTGATTCCATCAGTCTGTCAGGTCGCTCTTTTTTTTCTGCTCCCTGACAGACGCTTGTTTGAGCGACAAACCGAAAAACCGAGGAGCGAATACTACGACTTATGGAATCATTGTTGACAATCAATTAAGAGCTTTGCTGTGCTGTGCTTACCAACACCAAAGGTTCTGATTAGAGCTTATCACCTTCATTGTTGTTCCCTCTCTCAAGCCGTTCATTCATCTTTTGTAGTTGATTTTCATGTGTTAGTACATTATACTATTAAAACAATACAACTATTCTGAAGGGAAATTCATATAATTTGAGATGGCCAGGTTTTCCTTGACTGTTTCTYATTGAAGGGGTATCAAAATTATGTTAAATGCCAAATAAACTTTTTTCTTCCTGGCTTATAGAAACCAGGAACACCAGCAGAWTCCGACAATGATGGTTTTAAGTACACACCTCTACCTCGTGACTCCTCTCATACCGGACAGCATCATGGCACGTTTGGGGAATGTCGCTACATCTACTATGGCCAACATTCAGAGGGAAACAGATTTATTAGAAACAATGAACTGTAGATTTTAACATCATAGTACTTWACATTATTATTTAACCCTAAARGATTTAAAGAACTCAAGATTTWAGCAATTCTATTGTAACCTAACACAATAGGGTCTTGAGTATTTTATATGGCTTGAAAAACTCCAACAATAATTTAGAAATCGCAGGCCTTGAATATCATTCTTGGAGAAATGAATGTTTAATAAGATGAATGGGGCAATCTCATCAAGACATGTGTGCAAAGCACGTCATCCTTCATTGAATATATGAAGTAAAATACTACAAGGCTGATTATCATTAGCTGATTTACTGGTATTGTCAAATACCTTGRACTAAAATGATAAGAGTTTTAAGATGAGACCCTTGCTTAGTTTCACGAACCCCTATATCTGATAAAATTTGTGTTTTATCAGGTAATGATAAGTTCCTTGCATGTAACCAAATAGGCTAATCCAATTGGTCTAGTAGCTCATTAATTATGTATCAGTTTTGTAATGAAAGTGTAGCAGGGCTTGAAATGATGGCCTGACAAGATTTCCTTCCAAAGCCTGGTCATGTCAAGTTTTGAAAGGACAAAAACGTTATTATACTAAATTATTTTCTTTTAGTTTATAGGTTTTTGTATAAATTATTCAGAAAATCGTAAAAGATTTATTTAGTGAATTGAGAATTGATTTGTCTGAAATGTAGTAGGTCAATTTGACCTTTCAACACCCAATTTGGCCGGTCATCTAGCGAATTTGGAATTTGACTGGCCATTATTTCGATCCCTGGTGTAGTGTCTGTAGAGACTATCAAAAGTACCTGGAGTGCTTAACAACTGGTTCACACACACTGAGATATGTTTTGACCATAGCAAACTGTTGTATGTGTGAACTGGGGAAAACAAGCTGAATATTAAGAAGAACTTTTCCATTTTCTTATKTGCTTCTGTGTGCTTCCCACTTCCTATTGGGGGCTTCAGTCAAACAGCAAGTGCTTGTATGTTAATATAATTAGATTCAATTTAACACTTTAAAACCCCATTATTAGGTAATACAATACAATACTGTACCTATATTAATAATCTGTTATCTCTAAATGTTTTGTGAAATATTATAGTGAAAGGGTAATCTGCAATCTTCAGGGTAACAAAGAATTGCCTTTGTTGAACTTATAAGAGTCTGCAAAACAAGATATTTATTGACTCTTATCAAATTGTACTATTTTAAGTTGATTGCATGTTCTCTTTGGTTGTTTGTATGCTAAAATGCTGTCCCTCTGGACCAAAATACAAAACGTTTGCTATTCAAAAATGATATCAGAGTTCATAGTATGTATAGGTAGTAGGTTTTTATTTTTACATAGTCAATGTTATTTTTGATGTTATACTATTAAATGATAATAAATTTTACYAATAAAGTAGATTGATAAACCACGAATGTGTATATAATTTTAATGGGAAATGTTGTGATAAAACCATGTATTATGGGATCATTTTTATTTGCTACAAATTTTAAATGCTGTGTCTAGACTGTCGAAAAGGCACTTGGGGGTAGGGAGGGGTTAATTGGAGAGGGTTTCTCACTGAGTGTCCACTGTCCTCCTCTTCTCCAAACCCCACCCGCCAGTCTCCTCTCTTGTGCATGACAGGCATCAAGCAGCATCCAGGGGTAGTCTATCTCTTCTCTTTCTCCTTCCCATGACTGGCTTTGCAAGACTCAAGAGCAAGGAGCAAGTGATGTCAGTTGTTCTTATACTCAAGCCTGTTTTCAAGCTACATCAACTTCATTCTTAGTCAAATTTTTATGTATTATGATTTTTTATATTCAATATAGTTCAAATAATAATTTGGAATTCTGGGCCAGTCGATGTTTGTTGTTTWCCTTGATGTTGGACTACCTGTGGTTCATGCCCAGTCCTACTCTGAARATCTTGTTCTTAAAAAAGTTACGAACACATGARGAAATTTCTTTAAAATGGTAACAATAATCGACGGAGAGATYGTCCAAGATGACGACCCAAGAGCACAAGCCTACAAACAAAGAAATCGAAGACCAGAACCAACAACTCAAAGCCAAACAGAGCAAACTTTCGACTCGACAAGGATGAGACAAAGACCTCAAGTTGGTCCTGGAGGTATCGGAGGWGGATCGATCATTGATCAGTTCAATAACAAACTTTTAGCCGCTGGATTTCCTCGCTGGAATCTTGGACAAAATGTGGTTGAGCCTATTGTTTCAGTTATGTTGATTTTAGCGCTAGTGTTCTTTGGACTTAAAGGAGTGCTTATGGTYGGTCTAGTKTGGTTCTTCTTGAATCAGGCTGGAGGTCAATGATGAATTTGTAGTCTTCAAAGACGATGTACAAATAGATATAATTATTATCGCCTTATATTTCTATCTGGAGGATTATCACAAGTGAACAAACGAGAAAATAAACTGCTGCAAAAGGGAACTGTGCTTTTCTWACATAGAATAATAGAAATTGTAGAGAATAACATGTATAGAACACGCACTGTGATTGGCTTATGTGTATAAATATAATCAAGGTTGGTTGTACAAAGAGTTGCACCATAAAATAGCCGACTTTCAAATTTTGCTTTGGTAGTCACACACAAAGGAATCAAGACAAGGAGCCGTGCATAAAGCTCAGTCATTTGTGGAAAGACAATAGTTTTTGACGATTGACTGAGCTTTTAGCACAGCGTCTCGTCTCAATTCTTTTGTTTTTGACATATGGAGTGAAATTCGAAAATCGGCTCTTGTTATGATCAGCCATATTTTATCAACATACAAAATCATGGGCCACAGAGGAATKATCGTAAGTTTGATAACAATGTCACAGACACTTAATATGTTGTAAACTGTATGTGTAGTGATATAKTGCATCATTCCGCATCATGTATTGTTATTAGTAAGTTACGGAAAGCATCTCCGGCCTGGGAGCAAACCCAGATCAGAAGGTTGCTTCTGTAGGTACCGGAGTACAGATGATGTAATTCAATAGAAACAGAAGCTTAAAACAAAGCAGCAGATTCTAAACAATACCCCGAATTACAGTGAAACCTAACCAGAATACAATAGATTCCGGTACACACAGAAAGGCCAGATTAGAGAGYGACAATAATGATGCTATCTCCATGGACTCAACCCTGCTTGCTCGAGGAAGGGAGGGAGGGTCAACTGTCGTTCGTTGCTTGAAGTTTCCGGACAAGTAAATTAATTCATAGCATCTTATGCCTTTATTATTATTTATTTATTTATCCCCATCTTCCCTAGTGGGAAATAGGGCCGCGACACGGTGACGCCACTCTTGGCGGTCCTTTGCAACTTTCAAAGCCTCGCCCCAAGTCAGTCCCATCTCCAGCAACTCAGCCTTTATACTCATTAATAAACACCCATGGGAATAATTAGCATATTCAAATTGACTTTGAGTAGAGGGGTGTGTGCAGGGATTTTAAAAAGGAACTCGGTCTTTTTCAAGATTGCAAATTGGATTGAACACTTAAAATTGCAGGAGAATTGAACTATCTGAAAATTTATAGCCTATTGGGTTTTTTGAAACTATACCCCTTGCACAGTTCCCTGGTATATCAACTCAAACTCATTATCCTCAAATCATTTCACATCCAACTTACTACAAGAAAACGAATCCAGTGTAAATAAAGTACTTTTATTTTAAAATCTTTAAAGAATATCCGAATGATATAGATATAAGAGTAATCTACTAGGAGTATAATTAAGTTCTAAGTTCTTATAAATCACACGTCGATAAATTACGAGATTTACTGCTAAGGTGCTGTAACATTGTGCTGTGCATCTATTTTGCTATTAAATTATTTAAAATTGTTTTCTAAGAGCAAGTTGGCATGAAGCATTTTTTATGACAATGAGAAAAGTGTGGCATGCAAAATTGTCATGGCCGCCTGAATGACTTAGACGGCAAAGTTGACTCTTTGACTTAGACGACGACATTGTCTGGTTTCCTAATGGACTCAGACGTTAAAGTGTCTACCTAACGGACTTAATAAGATGACTTGTCTGACCAACTGTCCGACTTAGACAGAAAGGTGTCTGGTTTTTGGTCAATTTAGACGGCAAAGTGCCTAGCTAACAGTTCAACTTAGACGAAAAAATAGTTGTTTAACTTATGTATTTCGACGAAAAAGTGTTTGGCTAACTGTGTGATTTTGTTGTCTGG